GGGCCAACCAAGTCCAAGGTCACGCAACCAGTGAAAAGCTGAACTTCTTTCCTTCTTTCCCTCTTTCTCTTTTTCCTTTCTTACTCTCTTCCTGCCTTCCTTTTGATTTTTTTTTTTTTTTCAATAAAATCTTGGTTTGAAGCAGAAGTAGTTTCAAAGCTGCTGGATCAGCAGTCACAAAGTCCAAGCACATATCTTACTTATTGGTGGGGCCTAAGAACCCATTTAATCTTTGGACATAATTTTGACAAGTTGGGTTATATGGGACCTCAGCCTATAGTAGATGAAAGGCAGTTTTTAGAGGGGAAATGAAAGGCTTTTAGGTAAGGCAATCACATTGGCAATATTGAAATGTGACAGCCACAGCCCCGGTTGGGAGGATAGAGACAGGGAAACTGATGAAAGAGCTATTAGAGTAAAAATACATATAGTCATCAAGGAAATGCAAATCAAAACCACAAGGTGATACCACTTCACACCCATAGAATGGGTATAATTAAGAAGTCAGATAATGACAAGTACTGGTGAGGATGTGGGAACTGCTGGTGGGAATGTAAAATGGTTCAGTCACTTTGGAAACTGATTATTTTCTCAAAAGTTAAACAGTTACCATATGACTTAGCAATTCCACTCCTAGGTATATACCCAAGAGAAATACACATGTTCATTCAAAATTTGTACATGAATGTTCACAGCAGCACTGTTCCTAAGTCAAAAAGGTTAAAACCCAAATATCCACCATCTGATGAATGGATAAAAATATGGTATATCCATATTACACAATACTGTTCAGCAATAACAGGGAATGAAGTACTGAAACATGTTATCGCATGAATGGACCTTGAAAACATCTTAAGAACCAGTTGCAAGGGACCACGTATTATTTGATTCTATGTATGTGGAATAGCCAAATCTATACAAAGCAAAGATTAGTGGTTTCTTAGGGCTGGGGTCAGGAAATAGCAAGGTGACAGCTAAGGGATGCAGGGTTCCTTTTCAGGGTGAAAGTGTCATTGAATGACTTATGGTGGATGCACAACTCTTACGAATATACTAAAAGCCACTGAGCGGAATATTTTAAATGGGCAAATTGTATGGTGTGTGAATTATATCTCAGTAAATCTATTAAAAAAAAAAAAAAAAGACTAAAAGCACCGTAGTCTGGGTTGTTTTAGTGCAGGGGCAAAGAGCATCACACTCCAATCATCCAAGTCAGCTGACAAACTGGTCATGAGGATTAAATAAATTTCAGGAGGAAGTGTGTTATGTTTTGGAAGATGCCTACTGAAAATGAGTAAAAGATAAAAAAATCTACATCAGTGATTAATGCAGTGTGATTCGGGGTCTTTATTAGAAGGCCATGAAGGACCATCTGGGCAGGCAGAATGATGCTTCAGGGACTCGGCCAGGTGCTCTAAGTTACAATACTTGTGAAGTTTTCACATTCATGATTTACACATACTCTTTCGTTCTACTGTTTAAGAAAAAGTTTCATTGATATATTCAAAGTTTATATTTTGGGAACCAGATAAAGGGGTCTTAAAATGAAGAAAAATCAAACTATGTGATAGGGCACTTAAAATAGACAAAAATTTTGTGGCTTGATGTTTGAAAATCTTTTTTGTACTTGAAAAATCAACTATTAAAAGTATTTTTTTAAAGAACATGATTAGAAAATTTTAAGCTGCTTGCAACTACTTTCAGATAACCCATCAGACTTTAATAATTTGGCAAATGAACTTAATGAGATAAGACTGACATTACATGGTTTTTGGAACCCTGATTTTTGAAGTACCACAGATCCATTGATGTGCTCTGTAAGAATTCTGACCAGCTGAACACAACTCACAGCACGATTCCAGGTACTGAGGACATAGCCAGGAACATAACAGTGTCCTTGCCTGTGGTTAAGAAATCACCAGTAAAATCTATCATTAGCCAACTGTTTGTGCATTTATTTGCAAGTTTTTGTTTTTTATGGCTGAGACTATTTGTAGAGCACTTATTCAATGTCAGGCACTGGGCAAGGCACTGTACATGGGCAAGGCACTGTACAATTATTTCATTTAATCTTTACAACATGCTCTTTAAGGTATAGTGGTTATCAGTTATTTTCATCATAGTTTGCTGTACATTTATTAGGAGTCTCAATAACGATTGAAATAAAGTCTTCTAAAAGAATATTTCTTTGGACAACTTAAGCATTAAGGCCAAAGCCTGAATAAATTTTGTCAAGTCCTCTTGTTCTAGCATTTAAAGATTCTAATGCCAAAGGTGACAAGATTTTTTTTTTTTTTTGTAATAAGAATTGAACTCTAGCTTCCTATACCCTCACTTCCCAGATCTCAAGTAAAATTTTAAGCTTTCCTCATTATAGGATCAAAAGACAAAACACCAAATACCTTGGACAGCATTTTTCAACTAGTCAACTGACTTAAATGACATCAAAAAGAGGCTACAGGTTCCTTTTGAAAGGATTATTGTTGTCCTTAAATATAAGGCTGAGTCGCCACACCTCTCATATACCTTTAATGTCTTCTCTTGTAGCCAGAGGGTACATCTTAGCATGGCATTCAAGATTTCTTGCAACCTGGCCCCTGGCTAGAATTTTTAACTTTGTTACTGATTCACACATTCTTCCAGGCAGCCTACCAGCCATCCAAGGCTCCCATCTGTTGCTTGAACCACTTACCTTGGCCTTTTTCACCTCCATGATTTTGCTGATACTATTCCTTCAACATGGAATGTCTCTCTCACTCATTTCTACTCATCAAAAACCCATCATCTCTCAGCCCAGATACCACAACATCCTCCATGGAGCCTTTCCCCATTGTCCTGTCAGGATTGCTTCCTCCTCTTCACTCCCACACATGGCTTCTCACTGTATTACAACATGTTATCTCCTTCTACCAAATTCCTTTTTCCTCGAGTTAGCACATCTCCACAGCCCAGTCTTGAACACAGAATGGCTCTCAAATGCTGCTGGATGAATGAAGGGCTGAACTGAATAGGCTATATCAGCCACTGCAAGCACACTTCTTCATATGTGTCTTATGGCAGCAAGACATCCATTTGACCACCAAGCCTAGAAATCCAGGGTTGGAAGAAAGTCCAATGGGTGGTCCAAACTTGGTCCACAGCCCCTTCTAAAACAACCCTAAAGCAAAAGATGGCCCATTATAATTTAGAATTAGAACACTATCAACCCTTTTTTCACCTCTATTCAATGGACTTATTTTCTTTAAAAAAATGTTTTGATATTTTTAATTAAAAATATACAAATACATTCATATTATGAGATTCATATTTTATAGGAGTCAAACATAAAAGTCCTGTTCTTCCATCATCTTTCCCACTCCCTTTCTCAGAAGTAACTACTGGGGACAGTTTAATGTGTAGTTTCGTTTCTATATATTTACATACATATCTTTATACAATCAAAAATGCTTTCAACATAAATAGGAGACAAGATACTATTCTACAACTGGCTTTATTTTTTTCCATTAAATTCACTGATTTATACAAGGCTGAACATTTTCTTTTGAATGCTTATTGGTGATTTCTTTCTTTTTCTGTGAACTATTTCTTCATAATCTTTGCCTATTTTCTACTGAATTCATTTTTCTTCTTCGTTTGTATTAACTCTTATATTGACACATTGTGGACACCCATCTTTTGTTACATATTACATATGTTACACAGATCTATTTTCCATCACATTCATTTAACTCGAGTTTCAGTGTCCTTACCCGCACATTGAGGATGACACTGCCTGTGTTAAGACTGTGGAAGAATCAAGTGAGAACTGCATGCCGAGTACCAAGCATTATGCCTGGCATTCAGTAATTATTCGATAAATGTTAGCTATTCCTCTTTACCTAGATTGGGGGCCACAAGTTGGTAAATGTTTAGTTTAGTTCATGGAGTTTAAAATTAATACATTTGAATCTATTAGGTGAGGCATACATTTTCTAGTTGGTCATACCTTCCCCAACCTCCTCAATCTGTTTTCTTTACTGCAGCTTCTCAGATTTATGTTACCAGCCTTCTACTCTCCAAAGTTTTTAATGGATGAAAATAAAGGAGGCTTTGAAATTATGTATCACCTATAATCAGGGCTGCCCTGTGTACCTATTATGCACTGTACCACACTAGGATGTATCCTTCACAGTGTAATTTACTTACGGAGGCCCTTTGGATTGGCCAATGTACAACCTGCACGTGTTCAAGAAGCTTAATGGCATTCTCACAGCAATTTTAAAAGCTTTCACAAGAGGCCTTTATTTTCACGACATCTACTAGGTTGGATTAAGATGGGTGTGATATCTCTACTTCACAGATGTTGGAGGCACAGAGCTAGTAAACCAGAAGTGTGGCCCAAATATCTCGACATATAGATTAGGGCTGTGAAGTTCTAAGTCATCAGGTCCCTGCTTGGTACTCTGTCAAAAGCAAGATTAAGCTTCTGGATTTCCAGAGCCCTCCCAGAGATCATCAAGGAAAAGCTGTAATAGAAATTACTTCATCTATAACCATAGGTGGAATTAGGCTAGATAATAATCGCTTACATGTACATAGAACTTCAAATGCTAAATATTCTGCAAAGTATGTTTATATACCTATCATAACATTTGTTTATTAACAAAGCCTTGTAAGAGTCGACAGGGATTATTATGTCCATTTTGAGGTCTTCAGATGTTGAATTTGGGGGTACTGCTTCTAAAGAACTCCCTCCAAAGGACTAAAAGGCAGTCTTACTTACCAGTGTAAAGGAATTGTGGCAGGGTGCCAATCCAAAATGTGTATAAAATCCAGGGAGACAGTGACAGCCACTGAACTATGAGTTACAGTTTTAAGATACTGGCTAAACATACACACATATGCACACACGCATGCACAACATACAGTTTCTAATGCACAAACCAGTGGAAAGTTTTAGGACTCACAAACTTGTAACTGGAAACTGAATATGCAAAAATAAAGAGCAAAACAAACCCGAGTCCAACCACCTCGTTAATAGCTGAGGTCTTTATTTCAATTTGTATGTACAGTAAAAGTGCTGCTGAGAATCTGCAGCAAACAGACAAAACATAAATGTAATTCTCTCTCACAATTAGCAGCTTAAAATCTATCAACTACAGTGTTAACGTTCACACGTTCACAAGTGTCATTTCTGTACTTTTCAATTCGTGCAAGTGAGTTTTTATTCTTACATACTTTAATAAAACACACTTACAGTCTAGTAGTCAATCCTACTAAGGGTATCACCTAGCATCCACAATACACAGACAGAAATGTTAACTCTTAGAGCCACTTTCAAAATCCCCAGTTTCAGTTGGGGGTGGGAACCATAATTTTGCCTTTGTCAATTTGTTGATCATAACATTTGGTTTTGTTTTGGATGCATATTTTCCAAAGGTGAAAGGCAGCTCCTCACTGGAACTCACTCGGAATTCAGCATTTAATCTGACTATACCTCAGAGGAATATGAAATCAGAAACAAAACCAAATGCAGTGAAAACAACATGAAAATATGCTCATTATCAAGACATGGCTAGCAAGGAAGGCTTGATCCCAGTGCTTTTCTTGGCATCAGATTTTTACCTCAGTTGGGTAGAAGGGGTACAGAGGAGAGAAAGGACCCCAGTCAGCAAAGTGTAAAACTGAGCCTACTTTTGCTTCTTAAGGAGTCAATGAAATAGAAAGCCTTCCTTGCTAGGACGCACTGAATATTTACCAAGGAATCAAAGTTGGAGCAGACAGAAGTGCCCTTTAATTATAAAAAAGGTAAAATGTTAGTTGTTCTACAACCTGAAGAGTCACCCAGGTTACCACAACCAGCCTCACGCATCTACTAACAAGTAATCCAGGAATGCTTCGTTTCAAAGGGAATGCACGTAGTCTTTAAAAGAGAAGAAGCATTAAAGCGAGGGGAAGTTTCCACCCACAGAACAATTATTGAACCATTATAGAAGAAATCTGAATAGACCAGAGAATCCAAGAAGAGCCACAACGCAAAGAAACTCAAAGGCAATAGGTTATGGGCAGCAGAAAATGGGGGAAAGGCATCAAAACAGATTCAAGGTTACAAATAGCATTAAATGCAGACAACTTTTGGGCCTGATGAACAGTCAGGGGACAAGAAAGCTAGAAGGCCATTATTGTGCCTGACTTAGCCTAAAGGTCCTTCCTAAGACAGTTTGAGAGAGGATGATGGAAAGTTAGCATGGGCATGTTTGGCTGGGAGCTCAGGGGGTTTTCCAGAGGCGAAAACCTTCCTTTGATAGAAAGTGTCCCAAGGCAAATGGAACAATTTCGATCCATCGATCACAGTGACTTCCAGTGCCCACAAAACTTAGTAGCCTCTATACAGTTGAGGTTCCATCTTACAAAAACTGGAGGACTGTGGCTAGAACATCTTTTTAATAACTTTGCGTGGCTCTCTTCTCTACTCTGAGTCATTAAGCTAAAGCAAAAAGGAGAAACTGTGCTAGTTCGACAAGGTCATGGTGTCCTTTGGCACGTCTGCCTAAAGTCACTGTAATATTTTTAGGCAAAGTTAACATTTTAAATACATAGGCTTGGGAACAATTTGTTTTTGGCTTGAACATGAATTGGTTCCAATTACTTTTTAAAAGAAAAATTACCTCTGTGGTCTCTGCTCTGAGCACTAATTTTGAGAGGTCAACAGAGCTAACAGGTATACTACAATCATCTGGGGATGCAGTGAAGACTGGGGTACCTGAGTTAAAATATCAAAATGATTATGGAAACAACATGCTGACTCTGAGAAGGCCAGCTTGCCAAAGCCACAGGAGGCTGGAGCTGTGGTGTAAACCATGCTCTTAGGCGGACAAGGCAATGCTAATCTAGTTTCAAAGGAATTTCCTGAAATGAGGGAAATAGGCAAAGCATGCTCTGCTACTCTTCCTGGAGCATATTATATGCCCCTGGCTCATCACTTGGTGGTACAGAGCTGAGGCGAAGAGGGAACAGCATTTGTGATTCAATACCATGAATATGAAAAGATTAGCCAAGTTTTCTAGATAAGCTCTAAAAGCCCAAGTTCTACTAGGATGGTGGAACTGGTTATAGGATAGGGAAGAAATCTCAGTTCATTTTTCTAAATTGTCTATAAAAATCCACTGAGCATAGTTATGTTAAGTCAGTCTATATGAATAGGAAGCTGACAGCATTTTACACCCCAAACCTGGGTCCTTCTAACCTGACTATTCTGTCTCTGCTCTTAAGGGAGAATCAATTCTCTCAGGCAGACAAAATAAAGCTTTGAAATTAAGGATGCTGGGGCCAAAATGCAGACAGAAGATTCCACATCACTTTGGTTTCAGTAATTAAGGGATGTTAAAAATAAATTAAGGAAACATAAGGAATTATTTATGACTCTCATAATATAATCTCATTTTTTTTCCTTAAAGACAACCCCAGTTCAAGGTCACTGGGTGAACATTTTCTTGGGGCAAAAAAAATGCTGGTTTATGGAAACAGCCTCCCCCTCTCCCTGCACACCCCTTTCCTCTCCAACCAAGCCAAGCCCATGAAGCGGTGGTGTGGGGGTGGCAAAAAGCAGCAGCAGCAGCCAGAGGAGAGAGTTTAAGCTGCATCACAAAACAAGGGCATCAGAGGGCAGCATTTATAGCAAGTCTTCCTTTACTCAAACTGTTTCAAGACAAGAGGGAGCAGCACACTTAAATATCCACACATTTCTTCATTTAAAAACATCACTTCTTTATTTCAAAGGAAAAATAAAAGACCCTCCCAACCCTTTCCAAAAAAACCCAATAATAATAATAACAATAATAAAAAATCCTATTAGAAACCATAAGGAAGCACTGAGAGTTTGAGTATTACATTCTTCAAGTATGCTGTTCGGATTTTTTTTTTAATTGGTGACTATACACGTATTTTAAAAAAACCTTAAAAGTGTGGCCATGGGATTTTGCTTAAAATTAAGTATTTGGAGGGCTACTTCAAAATACTGTAGTAGGACTGTGCAGTGATCCTGTGGGAACATGATGCTCTCACTTTTGCATCCTAGCAAAGGTTAAGGGACCAGGTTCAAAAGTGACCACACTTCCAGGGTTAGCATGAGTGGCCAACTTGAGGAAGCCAGAGAGATCCATGTGTTCTTCCACGGACAAGAAAAATCCACCCTGAATCCAAAAATTCAGACAAGGAATGTGGTAGGATTTCACAGTAAAGTTAGTCTGGGAGGGGGAGAGGTGGTGAGCCCAGACAAGGCAGGGTGTTAGGTTTAACTGGTTTCCCTAATCAGGTTTTCTCATATTTTTAGTGGGTTTTAGTACAGTCCTTCAAGCCACAATTTAGATGCCCTTCAGTGTGCTCCAGATTGTTGGTTCACGTTAAAGGACTGTTTAAGATTTGCATCCCAAGGAAAATCATGCTACATAAAAATGATCCAAGATTTTTGCCCAAAAAACTTCTTGGATAAAATCTAAAAAATACTATTGCAATTGCGTCTCTTGAAGAAAAAAACATTATTCTAAATGTAAACAGATTCACTCAACTCTTTTGTTGTTGTAGAAAACTTCAGAGTAGGTAAGTTGCTGTCTAATTCTTCGCTGCATGCACTCACCAGAGGGTAGGGGAGCACTGCCTTCTTTTGCCAGCATCATCTGGAGGAGGAAAAAAACCGTTCTACATAGCTGAAGAGGGCATCCCAGTGCTTCCAGAGAAAGGCAATGAAAACCACAAGGAATAAAGTGCTGAACGTCCTGTTGCGAGTCTTCATGAGAGGAACCACACAGTTGGCTACCGTGGAGACAAAGACCAAAAGGACTGCCATGACTGCCAGAAGAATGTTGATGAGTTTGCCCAGAAGGTTCCGAGCAGTGGCATTCTCCAGCCCTTCTAGCTGTACCACCTGCTGCTGCTGCTGCTGCAGCTCCATCTTGGAGATGCGGGTCTGACATGCCTCCAGGGCCTCCTGTGGACCAGAACAGGGAACAGTTAAGCCCTCTGCTCACGAGTACTCTGTGTAGCAGACATGCCCCTTGAGCAAGCCAGATGCATCTTGAGCTTTGATAATGATTTTAAATATGCTAGAGAGTGATGACAGCATTGCACTGGATTAAGAAGACTCCTTTGTTTCTCCCCTTAAATTTACAGCAAGTTGGACAACTATAACTCACAAGGGGTCCCCTGCTCAACATACAAACACACCTGAAAGATCCACACACGGGAGCATTTGAAGAGCCTGGAGCAACACAGAGGTTGTTGCCAAGTAGCTGTGAAATCATGAACTTGCCTGCCTTGTCCCACCCAACAGAGCCAAGAAGAGAAAACTGAGATCTTAAACAGTACAGTGGGGCCGCAAAACTGTGAACTTGCCCCCCTGCCCCATCCATCTAAGCATGGCACTGGGGCCAACAACCATTAGTAAAAAGGAGGTAGTTCTGAGAGCTCACAAAACTGGTTTTCCACCACCTGCCACATACCCCCATCACAGTGGTGGTGTCCTGTAAGTAAGGCAAGCTAGTCACAGAGGGGATGCTCACCATCCCAGTGCTTATGCAGCATTTTCCTTAACTGAAGCGATGCTGCTTCACTTGCAATACCAAAGGCGCAAAAAGTTCAGGTAAGAGAAAACAAAAAGTTGTGCTCTAACACCATCCACTGGAAAACAAGAGGAAGTATGCTACCTATCAACCCACTTAATTGTTGAGAGCAAAACAGTAACTAAACAAGAAAGGAGCTCACTACCTAAAATGTGCAGAGAAATAATCCTTCAAACACTATGAACAATCAAGGTAACACGGGAGCACAGAAAGGAAATGAAAAGTTTCTCAGAAACCAAACTCAAAGTCATTGAAAATTGTGACTATAATGACAGAGAATTTAAGATTGCAGTTATGAAGAAGCTCAATGAGATAACAAGAGAATTCAGTCAGAAGGGCAGTTCAATGAACTCAGAAAGAAAATTAATGAACAAAAAGAGTACTTTACTAAAGAGATTAAAACTATAAAAAAGAACCAAACAGAAATTCTGGAGCTGAAGAACTCAATAAATGAGATGAAGAATACATTAGAGAGCACTGGAAACAGCAGAGGAGATGGAAGAGACGATCAGCAAGTTCAAAGACAAGAAATCTAGAAATAACCCAGGAGGAAGAAGAGAGAGAACTAAGAATTAAAAAAAAAAATTAAAGAACTCTACAAGAATTATCTGACTCTATCAGAAAGAGCAACATATGCATAATAGGTATACCAGAAGAGGAGGAGAAGGGAACAAATAATCAATGAAAACTTCCCACACCTGTGGAGTTGGACCCTCGAATTCTAGAAGCTAACAAAACATCTAATTATCTTAATGTAAAAATAACTTCTCTAAGACACTTATATTAAAGTTGTCAAAAGTTAATGACAAAGAAAGACTCTGCAAGGCAGCCAAGGAAAAAACGGCTAATCTTTTAGGAAATTCTATTAGATTACTATCAGACTTTTAAAAGAAGAAACCCTACAAGCTAGGAGAGAATAGAATGAAATATTCAAAATATTGAAGAGAAACCACCAGCCAAGAATGAAATATCCGGACAGGTATTTTTTAAATATGAAGGAGAAATAAAGGCTTTTCTAGACAAACAAAAGCTTAGGGAATTTACTACCACAAGATCTGCATTATAAGAAATGTTAAAAGGAGATCTTCTACCTGAAACAAAAAGATGAAAGAATATAAACTTTGAGTAAGATGACAGACAGAAGCAGGAAATTGCAACTCTATTTCAGAATAGGGTATTAAACAAAAATATAGCATAAGTTAAAAGAGAAAAAGAGCATTAAAAAAACTATAACTTCTGCAATTTGGAAATGAATATACAGCATAAATAGGGATAATTTGTGACAACAAAAACATTAAAGGAGAGGATGAAAAGAACTGAACTTGCACAGGTGAATGAAGATGCAATCAGAAGAAATAAGACTACTATATGTATGAAACTTTTTTTTACAGAAACCACACACACACACACACACACACACACACACACACACACACACACACTAGAGCTGCGACACATAACATAAAAAAAGAGGAAACAGAAGAAAAATCATAGAAAACTACCAAACTAAAATAGAAACACAAGGGAAAAGAAATAAAGTAGAGACACAGCAACCAGAAAACAAAACATAAAATGGCTGTAGTAAGTCCTCATATATCAATAATCACTCTAAATGTAAATAGATGGAACTCATCAATCAAAAGGCAAAGAGTAGTGAAACAAATTAAAAAATAAGACTCAACTATATGTTACCTTCAGAAGACCCATCTCAGCTACAGTGACAAACACAGGCTCAAAGTGAAGGGGTGGAAGATGATACTCCAAGTAAATTGCAGAGAAAAGTGGGTGTAGCCATATATATATCAGACAAAATAGATTTCAAGATAAAAAAGGTAACAAGAGACAAAAATGGACATTTTATAATGATAAAATTAAATTCATCAAGAAGATATAATACCTATCAATATATATGCACTCAACCTAGGAGCACCAAAATATTTAAAGCAATTACTAACAGACCTAAAGGGAGAAACTGACCAAAAAAAACCAAAACAATTATTGTAGGGGACCTGAACATCCACAGACAACAATGAATAGATCATCTAAACAGAAGGTCAACAAGGAAATATTGGCCTTAAATGACACATTAGAGCAAAGGGCATATTTGATATTTATAGAACTTTATCACATATGACAGAATACACATTCTTCTCAAGTACACACTAAACATTCTCAAAAACAGACCATATGTTAGGGCACAAAATTAGTTGAAAGAAATTTAAGAAGACTGAAATCTACAAGCATATTATCTGAACCGCATGGTATGAAACTAGAAATTAACTACAAGAAGAAAGCTGGAAAGAAAACATGAATATGTGAAGAGTAAACAACATGCTACTGAACAAATATTAGGTCAAAGAAAAAATGAGAGATAGAAAGATACATAGAGACAAATGACAATACAACATCCCAAAAATTCTGGGATGCAGCAAAAGTGGTACTAAGAGGGAAATTTATAGCATTACAGGCCTACCTCAAGAAATAAGAAAAATCCCAAATTAACAGTCTAACATTACACCTAAAAGAACTAGAAAAACAAACAAACAAACAAAAATGGAGTCCGAAGTCAGTAGAAGGAAGGAAATAATAAAAATTAGAGAGAAAATAAAGAAAGAATAAAAAGACAATAGAAAAAATTAATGAAACAAAGAGCTAGTTCTCCTGACAAACCTCTGGCTAGACTCACTAAAAAAAAAAAAAAGAGAAAATACTCAAATAAAATTAGAAATGAAAGCAGTTACAACAGACACCACATAAATACAAAAGAATATACAAGAATACTATGAAAGGCTCTATGTCTCCATGTTTGATAACTAAGAAGGAATGGACAAATTCTTAGAAATATATAACCTTTCTAGACTGAACCATGAAAAACTAGAAAACCTAAATAGACTCATCACTAGTAAGGAAATTGAAACAGTGATCAAAAGCTTCCCCCAAAACAAAAGTCCAAGACCAAATGGCTTCACTAGTGAATTCTACCAAATGTTCAAAGAAGATATAATACCTATCATTCTCAAACTCTTCCAAAAAATTGAAAGAAGAGAATACTTCCTAACTTATGTTACACGGCCAACATTACTCCGATACCAAAATCAGGACAACACAAAAAAAAGAAAATTACAGGTCAATATCATCTCTGATGAACGTAAATACAAAAATCCTAAACAAAATATTAGCGAATCAAATATAACAATACATTAAAAAGATAATATGTCATAATTGTGTAGGGTTCATTCCAGAGATGTAAGAATGGTTCAACATATGCAAATAATCAATACTATTAACAAAATAAAAGATAAAAATCTTATGATCATATCAATAGGTGTTGAAAAAGCATCTGGCAAGATACAACATCCATTTATGATAAAACACTCAATACAATGGGTATAGCAGGAAAGTATTTCAATATGACAAAGGCCATATATGACAAATCCTTAGCTAATATCATGCTCAATGGTGAAAAACTGAAAGCTTTTCCTCTAAGATCAGGAACAAGACAAGGGTGTCCACTCTCATCACTGCTATTCAACATAGTACTGGAAGTCCTGGCCAGAGCAATTGGGCAAGAGAAAGAAATAAAAGGCATCCAAATTGGGAATGACGAAGTAAAACTGTCACTATTTGCAGATGATATGGTTCTCTATATTGAAAACCCTAGACTCCATGAGAAAGCTATTAAAAACAGCACAGTAAAGGTTCATGATACAAAATCAATATACAAAAATTTGTTGCACTCCTGTATACTAACAACGAAATATCAGAAACAGAAATGAAGAAAACAATTCCATTTACTATCACAATAAAAAGGATAAAATTCCTAGGAATTTTAGCAAAAGAAATAAAGGACCCGCACTATGAAAACTACAAGACATTGTTGAAAGAAACTGAAGAAGACAAATAAATGGAAAGATATTCCACGTTCATGGATTGGAAGAGTTAACACTGTTAAACAGTACAGTGGGGCTGCAAAACTGTGAAATGGGCCCCCTGCTCCACCCATCTAGGCACGGCAATATGTACATCTAAAGCAATATATAGATTTAATGTAATCCCTATTAAAATCTCAATGGTATTTCTCAAATAGAACAAAAAAATCCTCAAATTTGTATGCAACCACAAAAGATTTCAAATAGCCAAAACAATTCTGAGAAAAAAGAACAAAGCTGGAGGTATCACACTCCCTGACTTCAAACTATACTACAATGCCACAGTAACCAAAACAGTATGGTATTGGCAGAGAAACAGACACAGAGACTAATGGAACAGAATTGAGAGTCCAGAAATAAACCCACACATACATGGCCAACTAATTTTCAATGAAGGAGCCAAAAACATACAATGGAGAAAGAAAAGTCTCCATTTTCATAATGGTGATGGGAAAACTGCAAAAGAATGAAACCAGACTGACACCATACACAAAAATTAACTCAAAATAGATTAAAAGCTTGAATGTTAAGACCTGAAACAATAAGACACATAGAAGATAATGTAGGCACTACACTTACGGACCTTGGTTTCAGAGTGGTGTTTGTGAACTTGATCCCATAGGCAAGGGAAGCAAAAATAAATGGGATTACATAAAACTAAAAAGCTTCTGCACAGCAAAAGAAACCATCAACAAAACAAAAAGACAGCCAACCAAATAGGAGAAGATATTTACAAATGATACCTATGATAAGGGGCTAATGTCCAAAATATATGAAAAACTCATACAACTCAATAAAAAACAAACAATCTAATTAAATGGGCAGAGGACCTGACTAAACATTTTTTAAAGAAAGACATACAGATGGCCAACAGACATATGAAAAAATGCTCAACACCACTAGCTATAAGGGAAATGCAAATCAAAATTACAATGAGGTACTACCTCATACCCATTAGAATGGCTGTTATCAATAAAACAAGAAATAACAAGTGCTGGAGAGGATGTGGAGAAAAGGAATCCCTAGTAAACTGCTGGTGGGGCTGTAAATTGGTCAGCCACTATGGAAAACAGTATGGAGGTTCCTTAAAAAATCAAGAATAGAGCTATCATATGACCCAGCAATCTCTCTTCTCGGTATCGACCCCAACAATTTGAAAACACTTATTCATCAAGATATAGGTAACCCTATGTTCACTGCAGCATTATTTAAAATAGCCAAAACATGCAAACAACCCAGGTATCTTTTGACGGATGACTGGATAAAGTTGCAGCACATATATACAACAGAATATTACTCAGCCATAAAAAGATAAACTATTGCCATTTACAACAACATGGATGGATCTTGAGAGTATTATGTTAAAGTGAAATGAGTCAGATGGAAAGGACAAGAACCATAGGATTTCATTCACGTGTGAGATATAAAAAAAAAAAGCAATAAATGAGCAAACAAAACAAACAAAAAAGTAAACTCATAGATACAGAAAACAGAATGGTGTTTATCAGGGGGGAAGCAGGGGCGGGGGGAGGATGACGAGGGTTAAGGGAGTCAAATAAAAGATCATGGAAGGAGACTAGACTTCTGGTGGTGAGCAGAAAAAAGAATATATAGATGTGTTACAAAGTTGTACACCTGGAATTTATAAAATATTATTAACCAATGTCACCCCAATGAATTTAATTTTTTTAAAAAATGAAAGCTTAAATGGATTTAGCATAGTCACACTATTGCCTTTTCTGCAAATATTTTCCAAAGGTGTGGTAACTTTTAGGCCAGTAACCTACTCTGTGGTACATGATTTCAAATAAAATCTGACTTTTGTTATAAACAAATAAACAAAGCAAACAGAGCCTTGAATATGAGAGGCCAAATGCATAACTCACTATTCCAGCCAACTATTATGCACCTAAACTGCCCTCCACTGCATTCCTATAGGATGGCTCACAGGAAGCAGTGGCCACAATTAGATTTGGTCTTGAACATTTTAATGACAAGGCCTCAAATACACGATTTTCTCTTTTTCATTTAAAAATTATTAATTTAAGTTGCACAGGACACACATACTTATTCGACATAAAAAATTTCAAATAAGACACAAAGTCTCTTGATATTTTCCTCGATTCTAGTTTCTGCCCTTGAAGTAATATTGTTAATTTGGTGTGTTGTTCATTCTTTCGCCTGAGTTTAAGTGTATTAATATATGTGCCTAGGAAAATGTATAGAATTATGTTTTGATATTCTATCTTAATATAAATAGTACCATACTATAGGAACTGATCCATAATACGCCTTTTTCCCTCAACAGTGAGTCTTGGCAATTTCTCCATATCAATACATAGAGATTCACCTCATTCTTTTTAACTGCTACATAGTACTTTATAGTATGAATATGTCACAGTTTATTCAGCCAGTTCCCTATTGGAGAGACTTATTTTCAACTCATCCACTATAACAATGGAGAGGTGAACATCCTTTGGACATCCTTGTAAACACAACCTGGTGTTTTTCAAGTCGAGTAAATTCCCAACATTAGTGGAAAGGGCTCCCTGCTCTGTCTTTCAAATATACTCCTCTTTTTAAGAGTGATCTCTGTAAAAAGGGCACGATGCCAAATACTAGACCAAATATTACAAGTGATCTGCTTCCCTCAAGGCTAGAACTATATAACTTTACCCATGAGTTCAAATGAAATTTACCACAACACTCAAAAGACACAATCTATTTCCTTAGTTATGGTTTGACACTCTTCAAAGTTTAGCAGTGGTAGGAGCCCTGTGTTTTTCTGGTCTTAGTTTCAATGGGTCCTGGTTTCTTAGGATTTGAAGTGAAGGCCAGGCAACTTCAGACTGAAGCTAGCTAGAGAATGGACAATGTATACTTCCCAGACCACTATAATATTGGGGAAAAAACTAAAACACAAACGGAACTCCAGGGGCCTGGAGAAGACGGCAGCTGGGCAAATGACGTAGACATTCTCTTGATTATTCTAGACTACTGTAATACAACTTTCCTGGACCACTTCCCTTCTCTAAGACTAATTTCAAGATGCCTTCGTATAAAACCAACTGTTCCCTAAGAAGTAAGCCCCAACTGGGATGAGAAAAAGTTAACTATTCTATTTTCTCATAGAATAAACTAGAGGGCTACTAGCTTTAAACATTACTATCTTGTGTTATTTTTGCAAATTGCCTGGCAATGTGCCTGTAAAAGATGTGGATTTGGCAGCTAAGACAAAAGCCCCCTCAGCTATAGAAGGAGAAGATAGGCAAGATGGCCATGAGACTTGTCAGAGCAGCTCCTGAAGCAGTAACAGATGTAAGGCATGTGGTTTTCCTTAGATTGAGACCACTATGATCCTAAGAAACATTTCCCAGGACTCACGCAAGCCAACCACCTTCAAATGGCATAGATTTTTGAGAAATACACCTCATTTGAGGAGCAGGTGTAGTACAGTTGGTACTAGCTTCTTTTGATACGCTACTTGCCCCATCTTTTTTTTTATAAACTTTTTTTTTGTGGTAAAATACGTAACATAAAATTTACCATTTTAAAGCATACAATTCAGTGACACTTAGTAAATTCACAATGTTGTACAAGCATCACTACTATAAAAATTCCAGAACATTTTTATCATCCCAAAAAGAAACCCCTTAGCCCTTAGTTATCATTTTCCATTCCCCCTTCCCACAGCCCCTGGCAACCACTAATCTTCTTTCTGTCTCCATATATCTGCCTGTTCTGGACATTTCATATAAATGGAATCATATAATATGTGGCCTTTTGTGACTGGTTTCTTTCACTGAGCATGTTTTCCAGATCCATTCATGTTGTAGAATGTATCAGTACTTAATTCCTTTTCTCTTTTTTTATTGTGGTAAAATACATATAACATAAAATTTATTGTTTTAGCCATTAGTATACAGTTAAGTGTTATTAAACACATTCATATTATTGTGCAACCATCACTACCATTCATCTCACAGATCTTTTCATCTCGTAAAACTGAAATTTTGTACCCATTAAGCAATAATCCCCCTAATTCCCCATCCCCATAGCCCTGGGCAACTACCATTCTACTTTCTGTTAATCTTTTGCTTTTACATCTAATCCTTCATGCTAACCTGGATGTCCCGGGCCCGTTCATAGGACTGATATGCAATTTTCTCTTCCATGCTGGCCAATTCCTGCTTCAAGTTCAAGATTTCATTCTGGTGGAGTTCTGTTAGGTCATTTAGTTGTTCTTCTAATCGTTCACATCTAAGAAGGGGGGAAAAGTTAGACTTTTAGGCATTCTGTATTTTTCCCCGGTATTATTCACATCCAATTCCCAAAACTCATTCTGCAAAGGAAGAAAATAAAATAACAAAGAAATTGAGTAGCCTGGGGTATCAGGGCATGCTAGTGGATACAACTTATCATAAGGCCATAACACAGCAGCAACATGGCTCTTTCATATTCTTCTCAACACATAGTATTTGTAGCAATGCCAGCAGCCATGGTTAGCTTTGAGCAAACCTATAATAAATGAGGCAGTTCTTATTCTGTTCTATGCAGCATATGGGAGAGGCAAAAACTTAAGCAGTTCTCATCAAAAGATAAACAGTACATAAATGGAAACTGACCTAGCACTCACCAGTAGCTTATTCTGACACTGGACAGGTCACTCGCCTGGATGTTTATGATTAATAGCCCATCATTCCCATGGCCAAGCACAGTATCTAGGACATCTCAGTCCACAAATATTTACTGAAAGCCTGCTGTATGTCAGGTATATTCAAAGAACTGGGAATACTGTCGTAAACAAGACAGAAATCCTATCCTTAGAAGTTTACATTCTAAAATGGGAGATGGGGGAGAGGTGGGGAAGAGGCAGAAAAAATAAAATGACTGCACAGATGGATAAGTAAACCAAATAAGACCACTAGGGGTATACAGAGGAGTGCCTGGTGGCTGGTTAGGTTGGAATGATCAGGGAAGGCTTCTTCTCTGTTCAACGCTCTTCAACAATGAGAGTTGAAACTCGAATGATGATATGAATATGCCTGGTGAATATAGAGGGTTGGGGCAAGGCATCTTAAAGCAGAAGGAATAGCAAGTATAAAGTTCTCAAGATGGGCTAGTGTGGCTGTAAGTGAGTAAAAAAGAGGGAGAATGAAAGAGGATTATGTTAATATATTAGTAATATGTTAATTAATTATTTTTATACATTTAAACCCATTGCTTTGTGGTGTTTTTAGTGTTTGATGATTTTCATCATTCTCTCGCCTCACCAGAGAGAGACTTTTAAAAAGGGGTGTCCACTGTATAAGTCTGCTGGGATTTAAGGGAAAGGCTAGGCCTGGAAGCAAGGAATTTTCCAAAGCTAAGGACTGATGTTAGTGGCAGAGAAGGGATCATGGTGGTAGCAACCAGTCTGTTTGCTGAAGAAAGCAGACCCATGTGACATCTTGGCATGTGTTCCATAGGCTAATTGCCCCAACCTCTTGGTCTACAAATTATACAGTCTTTCAGGAATGCTGGGGAATCTTATTTGATATTAAACATGGCTCATATATACTGTTAGAACGGATTAAAAAGTAGCAGCAGCAGTGCTACTGTTTATTCAGTGCGTACCATGCAAATATATTTCTACAATTCTAAGAAGGTAGTAGGTATTATATTCACTTTACAGATGAGGAAACTGGAGCTCAGTGAGGTAAACTGACTTGCCTAAGGCACACAGAAATTAAATAGGGTAGCAAGGATTTGAATCCAGGTTTGTTTGACTTTAAAACTCAAATTTTTAACCTCTGTTTTAAACACTGTGATGTCACTCTGAAACTACTCAAGAAGCCCAGATAAGCATATTTCCTTCTAAGTAAGAAATATGAGTAAGGTCCATAGCTGACCCAAATCATATAGCTACAAAAAGAGTTGGACAATATTACATTGACATGATGGTTTGGAGCTTACTGTCAAGGTGGAGTCAATGAGAGAAGGGGTGTAATAAAAAGATTATGGACCTAGAATTAAAAAAGGAAGATGATAAAAAGTGTTGGCAAGGATGTGGAGAAATTCAAACCTTGGAATTTTTCTGGTGGAAATGTAACATGGTGCATCTGCCTTGGAAAACAGTTTGGTAGCTCCTCAAATAACGAAACAGAGAGTTACCATATGACCCAGAAATTCTCCAGGTATACACCAAAGAGAAATGAAAACATTTTCACACAAAAACTTGTACATGAATGTTCACAGCAGCACTGTTTACAATTGCCAAAAAGCAAAAAGTAGAAACAACCCAATGTCTATCAACTGATGAATGGATAAATAAAATGTGTTATAGTCATACAATGGAATATTATTTAGAAAGAAAAAAGAAATGAAGTAATGACACATGATATACTATGGATGAGCTTTGAAAATATTATGCTAGTGAAAAATGCCAGTCAGAAAGGATCACTAATTGTATGATTCCATGTATATGAAATGTTCAGAATAGGTAAATCTATAGAGACAGGAAGATTAATGGTTGCCAGGGACTGGAACAAGGTTGGGAGAACTGGAGGTTGATGAAAATGTCCTAAAATGGATTATGGTGATGGTTACATATGTCTGTGAAATACTAAAAACCATTTATTTGTATATTTTAAATGGGTTAATTGTATTGTATATGAATTATATCTCAATAAAGCTGTTAAAAAATATTAGGGATGTCTGCAATTTACTTTGAAATGCATGAAAAAATAAGACAGATTAAGGACAGGCAGATGGAAAGATATGTGATAAAACAATATAGTGAAATGTAGAATCTAAGAGGTAAACATATGGATGTTCACTGCATTTTTTTTTTCCCCCAAATTTGCAGTGTTTGAAAGTAAAAGAATACTAAACATTGGGGAAAAATGTTATAGCCAGGAACATTGGATTGAGTCCTGGTTCCAGCTCCTAAGCTGCAGAACTCAGGGGTGAAGCAAGACCCACAATGAGTCCAGTTGAAACAGCCCCATTAATTCATTAATAACTACCAGGATTCATTTCCCTCTTCATAAGAATTACCTGAGAATGAAGACTTTCTGAAAGAACAGAAAAGTTGTAGCTGTTATTGTGTAACTGAAATCCTTTTACACTTACACAAACAGCTGTGTTTGGGTTACCACAGTTAAGCACCTTCAATCTGCAGGAAACATCAGGGAGGAAACTGAGAAAGCCATGAACTTTGAGGCTTTTGCAAAATGTGACGAACAAGGAAGTTGGCGAGATGCCCTTGGTGTCGTGGAATGCAGGTCTTCTGGGCTGCCTCAGTACCTTGAAAGAACATTACTGGCCTGTCATCATCAAAACACTTTCTCTAATTTTTTCACCCAGGTCATGGAAGCTTAGTCTTCAGCTCTTTTCACAACCTCACAAACCTGATCATGCTTAGCAATTCCAGTAAAACATTTTTTTAGTGCTATCAGCCTCTGAGTGGCTTACATAACCCACAAGTGAAATTATGGTCTAAAAACAAGCTAACACAAAGAGCCCAGTAAAAATGATGTGGTGTTATTATGGGTGGAGAAGTTCCAGTGGGGGAGGAATTTAGGTTTTAATCTAATCTATTTAATCACCATGAGCATCAAAACACTAGCACCAATAATAACAAGAACCCTTCCCTCCCCAACTTTTTATGTGTAGCGTCTGCCTCCAAGGAACTCATATTCATGAGGACATTTCTATATTAATTCTCACCTCCTTCCTCCCCAGGATGTACCTTCAATTTATAATTAAGAAATGGGAGGCCAAGAAAGATGCAGTAACTCTTCCCTGTTAGTGAGGTGTAGTTAGGATCTGACCCACTTGGTTCATGCCTTTTGTTTTTAGATTTTATTGTTGCTTTTTAAAAAACTTTTTTCCTGTACTATTAATCAAATACAAAATCTAAAAAACAACAAAAGGAAGAAAACACCTATACTTCAGTTTCCATTGACTTCCCACTACTCTCATTATTAATATTATGATCTCTTTTGCTTATATTACTTGCTAGTGTTTACTCTTGGTCTGAATCCTAAAAATGGGAAAGCCAGATACCTAGGGAATTCACATAAAGAACATCTCTGTCTTCTCATTAAATATTAACACCAAACCAAAGACTAGAAGGAAAAAAGGGAAGGCCAATTTCATATAGCCTTTCATGTGTGGTTTTTAAAAACCAAAAACTCCCTGTAAGGGATTTTAACCCCTTCATCTAACACTAATTAAAGCACTCTGGACATGAAAGAGGGGTTTCTTGATCCTACCAGTATATGATTTTGACTGGTACATGCTTTTCATGTGATTCCATCTGGAACACAAAGTAGCATGAGATTAATAAGCTCATTTTGAGACTTTTTACTCAAAGGTCCTTTGTAAATAATTACACCTAGATATGATTTAAGTGTAACTACTAGCAAACAGAAAGCCTTAACATTATAAGATCTTTTTTAAACAGTAAGTTATATCATATTGGGGCAGGTAAAGTCCCCCTCTCCCAAAGCAAAACTGATCTATCTACAAAATACTAAAACACATCTATATTTTGTTGCAGGTGAACAATTTGTAAGTGAATACTGATCTTGTTAAAGTGTTTCATCCGCTGGATTAGGCAACACAGCAGTCACCTTCCTAGATCAAAGATAGGCCAAGGCTCTTTTGGGTCAAATTCCTGATAAATGAGAAAGTGGGTGAGTGTAGAGGCTGGGAATGCCTGACCTAATGCACCACTCTTTGGGTGTGACGGAAAAGTGTGGAGTCATCTCTGAGAGCCAGTGGTGCTTCCCTAGTTGGGCAACAAACAGGTCACTAGGACAGGATAGCTGAAGAATCTTGTAGAGCAGGTATTGAGAGAAACAGGAAAACCTGGGTCCTATGGCTGACACAGATAGGCAACTATGGGAGCAGACTACTGTATTATTTCTCAAGTGCTTGCAAAGGACCTGAAGTAGCTTCTGCCAGTGTTTGAGCAGAATGGAGAGACATAGCTGGGGTAGGGGATATAATATGTGGTGGGAGCTTGAATACATTCTTAGCTGAATTGGGGAAGGTGGATTTTACTTCCTTACCTTTTGTTACCTCACTTGTGTTGAAGCCTGAAAAGAAGCTCAGAAACACTGAAACTAGACTTTAGTTGAAAAGGAAAAAGTACAGAACCAGTTCCCAATCAAAAATTAGTTCCCAAAACTTTCAGAGCAGTGCATTATCTTAAAGACAAGAAACAGCAGATGTCTAAAGCATACAGGAGATCAATAAAAGCTAGAGGGGCTTCTGGAGACCTGTTAATGATAACTTTCTGACACCCTGGCACACCCCAGACCATACTAGGTGCTTCCACATACATTATTCTCATTTAATAATCTTAACAACCAAGTATAATAGATATCATTACCTTGTTTTTATAGAGGAAACTGAGGCTCAGATGAATTACATAAGGTTACACAGCTAATTAGTGTCAGAACTGGCAAGCAAATTTGGGTTTGTCCAATCTCAATTAATTAATGAAATAATTTCTTTTCTCTCCCTTTCTTCCCCCCTCCAACCTTCCTCCTTCCTTCCTATTTTCCATTACCTATTTCATGGCTAAACTGGGAGGAGCTCATCTGTAAATCTCCTTTATGCAAAGGTCTTACCTTTCTTAAGAGCATCTCCTAATTGTGCTTTTTTCTCTTCTAAATAAAGAGCTAAACTGATCCAATATTCTCAGTTTCCTTTCCAAACTTGTTGGCCAAACTTATATCTTCTGGAGAGTCTCCGATCAATTTACAGATAAAAAATAGGGCTAACACCATAAAGGGGCTACAAGAGCTATATCTGACCATATATCTGTGTTATGTCCACTGATAGTAAAATAAGGTGAAATTATATTTAAACAACAATTTGTTTAGTTAGAACTCCAATGGCCTGTGCCAAATTGGGTTAGCCTAGCATGTGATGACTGCTCATGGTGACTGCCTCCTTCTGTATTTTTGCTCTTATGACTCAGTGCAATTTAAAATACCTCTGGGCTTAATATAATATCAGAAGCCAATTTCTAAAGGACAGTAATCCTCTTAAAATAGAAGCTTTCAAAATGGCATTACTGCTCATCAACACCAAAGGGTTTCCAGCCTGCCCTATGTGAATGATACTGCTTTATACAAGCAGTAGCTGAGTAGGATTCTGGGCCAGACCCCCTAAGGGAAAACTACAAAAGGAACCTATAAAACTGTTAATCAACTGTTTCCCTAATTCTCTCCTATTTTCAATGCATTGTGCCATAGGTGAACTCTTTCCGACAGTAACACATTTATATGTTATACTCACCATGGAAACAGGAGTAGTTCTCCAGTTTTTAAGGAGCAAATTAATATAGGTTAAACCATCTTACCATGTGACCTGGCAAAAGTCACTTTATCTTTCTGGGCCTTAGTACTCATCTGTAAACAAGATTAAATTAGATATCTTAGGACCTCTTCTATCTCTGAAATACTAAGTGAATCTCACAGCCACTAACATCTGTAATAATGTTTTAATGAGTTCAAGAGACTAGCAGGACAAGAAGAACCTGAAGTTACTACAGATCTCATCACTTAAAAAAGTCTAAACATTGCCTCTTACCTTCTCCAAACACACAATCTCACTCATATCTGAGAGTTCCATGCAAAGCTCAAAGTCTAAACTCCTACTCAAGGTGGGAGAAGAGTTCACACCCAAGCTCTACTGCGTGGCTTCCTGAGCTAAGTGCCCGCAGGTGCTGAGACAGACTACTCCACAGGTTCTTGAATGCTTCTGATTATTCTAGAGTAAGTAGATGGTCTTGAGCAAAAATCTTGACCTGGTGCTACTTGTTGGGGTATAGAGCAATGGGAAGCACATTAAGTGGGTGACATTATTGAAAAGAGACTATGAAAAGGGGAAATAAAGATGGAAATGGAGATTTCTCCATTAAGTAGTTTTCTCCTATTACTGACCTACTACCTTGAGAAAACTTTTCAGAGCCTGTGCATTCACAGAATTTATTAAATATGTTATGAATAGTGACTTGACTTTTAGTGAAATGCATGCACACTTTGACCTGGAAAAAGTCCAATACTCACTGCCAATGCACTCACTGTTTCTTAGAGTGAGACTACAGACTAATCTTTCAATCAAATAGATTTTAGAGTTGAACTTGAGAAAAACACCTGTCCTGGTATGAAAAGAACATTGGCTTTGGAGTCAGATAAAACTAGGTTTGATTCCTCGCTTTACCATTTACTAAGTGCCCTTCGGCTAATTTTAAAACCACACTGGGTCTTAATTTTCTTACCTGTAAAATAGGAATAATACAATATACTTATAGAACTATTGTGAAGATTAGCAAATATATATAAAGCACGTAGTATTATGCACATTATAGGAGTTTAGTAAATGCTGTCAATGGTAATGTCCTCCTTATCACTTAAATAACAAGCAACATAGTGCATGGCCTCCCTCCTGTCAACTGAGATATTAGTAAAATAAATCAAAGCACAGAAAATAACCAGAAATGCATCTAAATCAGCCATGTACCCATTAACTAGTTCTTGGTCAGAAAAGAGTTCCTTAAGTCCATCCCTAGCTTACTACTTCCTTCCTAGACAAAAAGCCAACCCTACAAGAGTAGAAATAGAAATTAGGAAAGAGGCTTCTGCAGGCAGCTCACTATCAGTGTCAAGGAGATATGGAAAGGAGAAAAAAATGAACCATAAAAAGCAGACAACTTTAAAAGCCCTCTAGGACCATTTACTGTAGAGGCAAATAACCTTACACCCTCACTGACCTGAGAGTATCACTTGAAGCTAGAACACTATTGTTTTAAGCTATTTCCAATCAAGCTAGGTTCAGTGTGCTACTCTGTTAAAAGGTAGAGAAGTTCTCAAAAAAAGCTTAAAATGTAAAAAGTTTTAGTGCTTCAAAGAATAATCAGTCTGTGGGTAAAATTTCACTTAATGTGAAACAGTTCAAAGACCAACAAAAAATTAGATAGATTTAACGTATAAAGACAGATGTAATGAAGGAGACATCTGTAACTGCTCTATACTTGGAAATACTGGTGCAACAAAATAGTTGAGTAAAAAAATTGTGACTTTCCACTGCCTTTCTTGAAAAAAGGCTTGCTTTCTTCAAAATTCTGTTTTAAGTAAAGCTGAAGTGATATGACAAAAATCAGATTATACATTACATTATGTCATCCCTTGCCCCCCAGGTCTTACCTGTTTTTGAAAATTCAAAAGTTTTCTTTATTCTCTCTTTATTCCATAAAACCAGTCATTTACCTATTACACAGAACCCAAAGTGCAATGAAAGAAATGCACTTCTCATTAGGTCCTAAGTGGCTTGGACTTGATTCTTCTAATGAGGTGATAATGAGGAATTAAAATTCTGTCCAATCTCGGAATTATTTTAAATAGATACAACAAAGGTGGGCCTTGTTTTCCTCACTGATTTTCTCACATTGGCCTACATTTGACTGGAAGACATAACAAACTCTATAAGTATTTTAAGCTCTGGGAGAATTTAAAAACTGGAATGTTTTGCTATTCATTTAAAATAAAGGTGTCAAAGCAGGCAGTTGTGTTTTTTTGAGCAACTGTGTAATGCCCAGGTTTCCATGTTCAAAGGGGTGTATTTTAATAGCAGCAGTATCAGCTGCCACCTATCATCAATTGAGCACTTACAAGACCAGGCACTGAGCTATGTGCTTTACATAAATTATTTCACTTAAATGTCACAGTAACCTTATGAAGGGCTATTATTTTTATGTTAGAAATGTGGAAATCAAGACTCATCGAAGTTAAGAAACTTGCCCAGTTTTCAAGATTAGTAAGTGGCAGAATTAGAATTTGAACATGGGAGTTAGGTGTAATATGGTACAAAGGATCAGGTGTTTTATTTTTAGAGTTCATTCGGATATTTGTTAGATTGCTCACTGCTTTAGATATTGTCTCCTAAGTATATTAAAGAATATATGAAATACTGAAATAAGAATAGTAGTGTATTTGCTTTTAGAACTTCATTTCTTTCTCCCACACTCACTCTTCTTTTTTTCTCCCAGAAGCCTTAGGTTAGAATTGAAGGACAGAAGAGTGAAGAGACAGGACTGAATTACTGATTACTATTTTCACCTTGTGAAAAGAGCTTGCTGTTGTAACTCCTCTCAAAGCTTATTGATACATGTAGATAATTTATTTCAGGCCCTGAGATTATCTCATAAATGCAAATTTTTTAAAAAGTCATTTTTTTAAAAAAGGGGTGAATGGGACCTTAAAAGATTGTCTGTTCAGCTCTTGATATTATAGAAGTACTGAGGATTCCCACTTGTTACTAAGTGGGAACAAGACCAGATCCCACATCTTTGAAGGCCTAACCCAACCTGTGGCTCCCATAAGATTAACCCTTAATCTCTGTATCAGTGAGGTGGCCTATCTCCGCCTGACGAAGTTTGAATCTGAATGAGTACTTCATGGGGGATATAATTTCTATCTGCATGTGATGGAAATAAGGGTAAAAGACACATATTTGGACATCAACAGTGGTCCAATATGACTATGGAATATAATATGAAACACAAAAAAGAGATTAGCTTCTACTTTAGCACAGATTATGACGACTCAAAGCATTTAGCCCTTTGACAATTCTCTAACTACTATAGAACCATTTCATGTTTAAGTCCACTCCCACTCAAATGTTTGCCAATTGATAGTAAAGGTAACAGACATGCTTATCTAAATTTATTTCTAGTCTAATCTTTCTACTATCTGCCCAGATAAGTGTGTGTAAGGCCAAATATCTACAAGGTTCATTACATTTTGGCTAGACTATATCTCTGATATCTGCAGAGTTCAGAGGGTTATAACATATCTTTTGAATTCAGTATAGTATGGCTACAGGTTGCAATGGCTTATGATTCCATAATTACAAATAAATAGGTGGAATGCCTTAGAAAGCTTAGGCTTCATTTTGAAGTCCTAAACTGTAATGGAAAACTGGAGAGCTACAGTAATCACCATCCCTTGACTACCACGCTTCATCGGTATGCGACCTTGGTGTCATTTAACTTTGCTGTGCCTGTCTTTTCCACTCTATGACAAGAAATCATGCAGATGTCATAAGACATATCTAAAGTGCTCTGGACATTCCAGAGAAACAGGCTGTACAAAGATCTTTAAAAGCTACTCCTCCATATCAAAGGGAGGGAACCCCCAAAATAAATAATTTAGGATTTTAAATCCATATAACTTACCTATATCGTTCTTCCTGTAAGGCCTGCATTATTAATGAATAGTCCCTCTGATAATGTTCCTTGAGGGTCTCAAAAGATTCCTCTAATCTGGCCTGGGTTTCCCGGATCTCCTGGATTTCATGTAGTAGTGCATCAAATCCTGAGCTCTGCATGTCCAAGGTGTTTGTTTTGGAGCTGGATGCTCCTACAGCGATGCCTCCAGTGGTGCTGTTGGCTCCCACTGAGCCTGAAGTGGCACTAGAACAATCTTCCTCACTACCATATTTTGGGCTTGACTGAAAGTTTGAAATCACTCCCAAAGCCTTCCCCGCATCATCCACTTGCCCTTCCTCTAAAGAGTCCTTCAGGTTAGGGATGTTGTCTGCACTACCAAATTTATTCCGAATTAGTGAAGCGATCTCTCTGGGCTTTGAGACCACGGCCCCTGCTGCTGAATGGGTTGCCTGGGAGAAGCTGGAAAGTCCACCTTTGACACTGTCTACCACGCCTTCACTGAAGCCAGTCACCTTTGCTCCCACATCCTTCAGACCTTGGTGCATGTCCCTGAAGACATCCTTTGGCTGCCGGGGTATCCCATTCTGTTCCACCTCTCGGAGCTTCCTGTGGTAGTGCTCAAGCTTCTTTTGTAGCTGGAGGATGGTTTGGGCAGATTTCTGGTTCTTCTTCTCAAAGACCTGCTTAATGCGGGCAGCCTGTTGCTTATCTGCACTGTTGGCAAGCTTCAAGTACTCAGCAACGTTGTCGTCTCGGGCTGTTTGTGCAATCTTGATCTGTTCTGTGAGCTTCAGGATCTTCTGCTGCAGGTGAGCAATAGCAGCCTTTGTGCGCTGAGGGTCTGGTGTTCCATCCACAGAGTCTGTGTGGATGCTGCCATCGGTGCTGGAGGCCACTGCACTGGAAGTCTGGGCGAGGCTGCTTACTTCCAACCGCTCGATCTAACATAAAAGCAAGAGGTGAATGTTAAAAGAAACTCAAAAAGACTGCTTCTCCAGAACCAATGGGCCAAAAAGCATTGAAAATTTACCTATTCTCAGATCTCAGTACAGACAGTTAACCTAAATCCTCCTGTCCTGTCTAAGCCCCATATCCCTCTTGGATCCTATCCTCATATAAGTATACTTTGCTTTAAACAAAACATGTATTTTTAAAAAAAGATTTGCACATAATGTAAACTGGGGTATTTTCCTCTGCTAGAGGATTTGGCACAGTATTTCTTTAAACAATAAAGCTCCTCTAGTGTGTTTAAAGCACAATTTAATTCACATTTTTCCAAACATACTTGCTTAGAAGCATATCTATAAAAAAACAAGGTACATCTATCTGCATTTCGATTTAATTATGTAAAAACCATTTTTGTATTTAGACATCACTGTAATTCCAATTCATGCTCTCAAGATTATGGGCATCTGAAAATATTAGCAAGAACAGGTATCTCACTGGCTAGATATAAAAATCAATTTTTATCACAATGTCTTTTTTCCAATCATGTCAGGGGTGATGGAGTCATTCTTTCTATTTTAATAGGGACACTTACTGGTAGCTGAAGACAGGTGGAGGTAAGAACGAGGAGGTATTAATGAAAGTGGCAAGGATGAATGTTAAAATTTTAACTCTTGAGAGTTAAAATCTCAAATCACAAGTAACTGATAAACCTGGGGGAGATAACATGAACACTTGGGACAGGGACAGTAAGAGGTAAGAACAAGTCAGTGACTAAATTCAGGCCTTCTGGAGCTCAAATTTTGCAAGTTCTATCCAGTAAATCATTTTTATTAGGCAAGGGACTCCAAAATACACACAATGACCATTCTTTCATATGGGTGAGCAGCCATTCAAAAGAGTTGAAGAAAAAGACAAGCTGCTCAGATGTGAAAACTTAAACTATCATACTTCAAAGTCCTTAGCCAAAGCTGAGGAGTGGTTAGTTTTCCTAACTCAGAAGAAAAAAAAATCCTTCAAGAAGGTGTCTCTGGGTATGGCTTGTGGTGGTGAATTAGAATAGGGCCTATGCAAAAAGGCTTTAGAAACGGTTCTCTATTGAGCAGTAACAGGAATAAATAATAAAATAAGTATCTCAGAGTAATAAAAATTTCCAGTAGTCAAATTACAAGTTTACCACCCTGGAGATTAACAGCACACCCCTTTCCTTGCTTATTGTCCCTGTTACCAGCAGCAATTTGCTAGATATAGATTATCCTCATATTAGAAAAAACTGAATTACATTTTTGTATGACAATACACCAATTCTGAAATATTATGAAATGCTAACTTGTCAGTCTAGAGATGCATTCTCTTTTTTTCATCTTGGTTGTATCTCTTCAGTTTGCCATCTGAGCAGAAATTGTATTTACCTCTAACACTAAAACATTTAGTTCATTACTGGATTCAATATATTACTATTAATGCAAATAAAAGAATATTAATTTCTAGATGAACACATAATATTGTGCATTTAAGCAAAATCAAAAGATAATTTAAAATCTAAATGAACAAAATAACGTTATACTAAGAAAGAAAGAATATCCAGAATAGTTAGAAACTAGCAATAATAACTGTTTTGCGAAACTTCCTCCATCTGACACATTCATCTTTTAGGTACACGCTAACAAGCAGTGAAAGGGCCAGAGGAAGGCAGCAAAGGGAGGATGAGTTCCAGATAATCAAGTTGTCAAGAGCTGCAACAGGAACTCCTAGAAACCTACTCTCTTCAATGCCTTAGGTTGTGCAGGGTTTCCATTCTGGGATTTTCTTTTTGAATGGAATTTCAGATCCCATAACTACAGTATGTAATATGACCCTGTTTCATTATGTTTAATAGCTCAAAATCAACCACAGTATAAAAGGAAAGCAAATATGAAATACTATTAGATCCACGACTACCAGCTTAAATGTATGATCTAGTTTTCTTAGGTTCTTTGTTATTAATTTGAATATCAATTTACATGCAATCTGTTGTCTACATAATGTAGGGAAGAGGCTAGACAACTGAAGTGCTAAATAAATCAAGCTACTTTCAGAGAATGCAATATACTGATCAGCTCTGCAGCCAGACCATGTGGACACCTGTAGAACAAAGGAAGATTTCTGCTGGGATTGCTAACAACCCATTTCCCAAACCTGTAAAAGGGGACACAGGAAAATGAGGCTTTAAAAGTGGCTACCCTACACAAAATAAAACCGTTCAGTCCCTATGGCTAAATCCATAAGGAATCTGTGGATTAAACGCTGGGAACTGCCAGCAGGCCTTTCATGCTACATAGTCTTACCTTTTCAAGCTACACACTCTTCCCCTTCCTCATTGTATGTCCATATCAAAGGAAATTGGTAAACAAAGTCTTTAAACTATAACTCACAGAAACTAAAGGATGATATATACTGGATCTCCACCTTCCCCACACTTGGGGCGGTTTCTCTTGTCTTGGCTTTTTGTCTTTGCTTTCTCTAGTCTTTGCTTTTCCCCTTTTTAAAATAAACTTTCATTTTGACTCTAACTCTGGCGTGTGTTGAATTCTTTCCACACTCTCCACCAAAGGACCCTCTTCTTCTCTCAGTGCAGGGCTTGGTCTCCCCCCAACTCGGAGGAATTTGCCCTGTCCTGCATTATAAATAAGTATACATATAGAATCAAGTTTAACTATTACTCTGGGTGGGTAAAAACTGATCATATTGGTAAAACTTTCAATGTAATTACTTACAAATGATCACAGTTTAGATGTGAGTTTATTTCTCTACATTGTAACTAATGAAATAAACCATACTGCCTTCAATCTGACTTCTCTCCTACTTGGGCTATGTCCTTCCAGTGCATGGCTCTCCTGTAAGAGTACAGCTGATGGAACCACTGTCCTCAGCTTCCAAAGAAAACTAACCCACAGCCCAGCATTAGGGCGGTTTATCACCTGAAACCACCAGTCACTGGATTTTACTCAGTCACTATTCCCAATTTTGGCAGGCACTATTCTCAAAAAGGGAGGAGAGAAGAAAGGGAGAAATTGTGAGAAGAGGGGAGTGGGGTGAAAGAGAAGAGAGAGGGGGAGGAGCAGAGGAGGAAAGAAGAAGATGTAGTTAACTATAGAATTACAGGTTAACTATGAACAAAGTCCTTAGAGGTACAAATACTTAGCACTGGAAAGGCCATAAGACTTAAAGGCCATAAAGACTTAGCCATAAGTTATGAACACACCAACTGAAAAGTGGTTCTCTTTTCCAACAGCCTTTGCTAGCTTAGGCTATCTATATTGTGGGGGCTAAAAAAAATTTCTCCCACCTTCTAAGTTCTTCTAGCTGGACTAATGATCAGATTTAAGAGACAGATTTTAACAGGAGAAAAAGTCCAAGATTTATTATTATAGATGTATATCAGGGATGTCATAATAACGAGACCCAAAATGAATTGGGCAGTTAAGACTTTACGCCACATGAACAAAGGAGAAAAGGGGGTCGGGTCTGGAATCTGGTCTGGAATCTCGAAGAAGAGATGGGCAATTCACAGGTAGCTGAGAGAGTAGAACACCCGTAGCAAACAAATTCCTGCTAGGCAACCCAGAAACAATGGGATATAGGAGGGAATCTAGCTAACAGGCCTCTACTTGGATCCTTCCTATCTACCACAATTAATCCAAATAGGCTTAAGTGAAAATACTTAAGGTGAATAAGCTAAGATTCCCTTAGGTAGGAAAGGGGGAGGGTCAAAGGCTCTTTCTCAGTCTTTGTTTCTTAATGACTAGCTTAAAATCAGTATCTCAAAAGACACATTTGGGGTGGCAAAACTTTGATCTCCTTCAATATATAACAACATGAAATTAGATTCTTACCTCGCCCCAGACAAATAACTAAATTGCAAATGTGAAAAACAAATTTTAAACCTTTTAGAAAGCAGTACTGGAAAATAAGGAAGGATTTTCTTAAACACACCCAAAAAGGCACAGATCAGAAAAATCAAGATTACTGAATCTGGCTACATTTACTGTAGTAGTGAAACATAGATTCTGGCATAAACTGCTTGGGTTCAAATCTGGCTTTGCAATTTTCTAGCCATGTGACTTTAGGCAAATTATTCAACCTCTGTATCTATTTCATCAACTATAAAATGGAGATAATGCTAATGTCCACTTCTACTTCAGAAGATTGCTGCAAGGAAGAAATGAGTCAATAAACAAGAGTGCTCAGAACAATACCTGGCATAGAGTAAGCTGTTATTACTGGCTATTATTTTTGTACCACGTAAGTGGTTCTTTTTAAAAATTTAAATATTGGGGTGGTTCCATAGACTAGTGGTTAGCAAGTCTGCTTTACACACAGAAGGTCCTGGATTCAAGCCCCAGCAGAGCCCCAGGTGCGTCAGGCCCCCTGGGTGCACCAGGCCCTTTGTGCACTAGGTCCCTTGGGTGTGCCAGGTGAGTGTGAGGGAGGAGACACCCTGCCTTCAGAGATTCAGTTCTTAAAGGGAGATGGCAACATCCATAGGTCAGAGGGAGGGGTAATTAAAAAATTCAAATATTAAAGGGATTCCAAAATGTACTTACTTCCAAGATCTTTCAAATTTCGGGCACAAACAGGGGATCTCTAGAGAGTTTGAACCAAAGGAATAATGTAATTCAACACTACAGTAAAATGATATCCACCTTTCTGGATAGTTGGTCATGTGGCTAGGCAGCTGGCTAGCTAATCAGTCCTCACACAACCTTATTAAGTAGACATTGTTATCACTAATTTACAAATGAACTGACTGCTGAGGTACCTCCTACTACCTATCACAAAGCAGTCTGACAATAGCAGAAGCAATATTACCTACTCAGTAGGGCTTCCCAGGACTACATCTTGAAGGGCATACAAGTCTGATCATACCCATCAATTTAGCAAGGAGCCACTATGGCTGAGGTTAGAATTAATTTGTATAGAAAAGTGCTAGACCAAAAATCAGTCAATTAAATAT